AAAAAAAAAAAAAAAGAAAATAAATCTAAAAAGTTTGCCATGATAAAAGTTAACGAATTTTAACATCAGTTTAACGTTTTCGTAGCTCGGCTTGGACAAGGACGAGGTTAGTTGACACACAAAATACACACACACAATTGAAAAAAAAAATATATATTAAAAAAAAAATAAGAACATTATTTATTATTAATTTTTTATTATTTTTTTTTTGTTTTTTTTTTTTTTAATACAATCACAAAGCTGACGAGTTTGTACGAATTTTTGGTCAGTTCATTTTTTTATTTTTTTATTTATATATAAATATATATATATATATGAATATATTAATAAATTACAATATTATATATATATATTTATATTTAATTATTTATTTCACGTACGATACACCATCACAGTGATTATTATTAAAAAATCTATAGAAAAAAAAAGAAAAAAAATACAAAAATCATCACAGACTTATCTATCACTATTTTTATCTCTCTTCCTCATACATACATACATATATACATACAACCATATATATATATTATAAATAAATAAAATATATATATATATATGTATGTATATTGAAATAATTTTTCATTGCTTTAAATTAATATACAAAATGTTTCTTAATACGTGAAACAAATTTTAGAAATGATTGTACAATGTAATTAAACAATTAAAAACAAACTTTTACAAATTAATTTTATCATAAAATTAATAACAACATTTGTTTATATTTGTAATAAACCACACACCACTTTTCATTATCGATTTGTATTTAATTAAATTGTAAATTCGTAAAGTGTGTATGTGTGTGTGTGTATCATCAACAATTTTCGTAATTATTTTCACACGTATAATTGTTTTTGAATAATTCATGACAATTAGTTGACAAAATTGAAAATTTAATTACACGAATCAAATGGAAAATGAATGAAGTGCTTTTTTAAAAGTTCAAATTAAACATTGAACCTTTAAACATTCGCATAAATTTAATTAAACTAATAATTGTGTAATAAATATTAGGAAAATGAATGAAGTACTTTTTTAAAGTTAAAAATTGAACATTGAACCTTTAAACGTTCCTGTGAATTTAATTAAAACTAATGTGTGATTATTAACAATTAGAACAAGACATAATTTTGCAATAATTATTATTGTTTTTTCTTCTGTTTTTGTTGTGTGTGTGAAATGTTCCGTTAATTTCTAAAATTGGTCAAACATTATTGAGAAACATTTTGTATTAACACAAATATTATACACGCGCTCGGGGCACTAATTAAATCACAAATTAAAGGAAATCAAATCACATACACACACACAGACACACATATACACAGTCACATATATGCAGATATTAACACAATTCAATTTTGTTTCAAATATTACTTAAGTATTATTATTATTATTATTATTATTATTATTATTATTATTATTATTATTCCCGAATGTGATTTCGCACTATTTTTCCATTTACATATATATGTATATTTATATTTACAAAATTACAATATTTATTTGTTATTATTTTTGTATAAATAATTTATTTCCTTTTTTTGTAAAAATTCTTTTAGATTTATGTAAAATTAATTAATAATAATTCATATACACATATATATATTAATGTATACATTTATTTATATGTGTATATGCAATTACGAGAAACGATAAAGAATTAAATTGAATTATGTAAAAAATTTAGGAACACTGCAACCCCTCAATTCCTTCATCCCTGTACAACCCCTTTTTTATTTTTTTTTCATTTGTAGAAAGCTTTGAATTGAAGTATTTAAATTATTTTTTTTGAATTGAAATATTGAAATATTTTCGCTTTATTTTGACTATTTTTCTTCACAAAGTTTCACATAGTTTCTTTAAAAAACGATCAATTTTTTTTATAAGAAATACGAAGGAATATTTTTATTTTTTTTATTTTTCGTTGGGGTTTTTTTTTACTTCTTTTCTTTTATTCAACGATTATAGTCATTGCAATCATTGCGATCTTTTTTTT